TTTATACTTGTTTCCTGAGTTATTTGGAGAAGTTGAAAAGAGTTTTGAAATATCTGCTATTTTTCCAAATTTACACTGGTGTGAACATGGAGAAAGGCAGGAATTGCCCCTACAGTAGATATATCTTTATATGTCATAAGGATAGACAGCAAGTAGAGAAAAAGCTTTGTCTGAGTGGAGAGCAGCTGCTCATCACTAGGACAAAAAGTAAGATGTGATGTAAGGTGCCTTCTTATACTCCTGTCTTCTGGATGTCTTTATTTATACTCTCATGGTACAAGCACTGTGTCTATTTCTACATTTGTGAAGGGAGAAGGCAAAAGCATTGCTTTTAGCTTTCCCTCACATTGCCTGCTGATCATGTCAGGAGGAAACAGTGACTAAGAACTAAGATGGTATAATTGTCACTTAAGCACACAGTCAGTCTTCAATATGTCACACCCAAAGAGGCGACAGTTTCGATTTTAATGTCCAAATGTCTTCCTTGTTTCAAAGAGAGTGTGGTGTGGCAGAGTTGTGTGTTCTTGTAGTTAAAATCAGGCCTCCCGTCTCCATACACTACACTAGTGAGGAGTTTAGGCCCAAACTGAGAATTTGATTCCATGAGAGTTGAGCTGTCACACTTGTAAGACCTCCTGAGTGTCTATTGGAAGAAGAAGCGGACCATCATTTCCATCCATTTCTTTGTTATGCTTTTGGTTTTAATTATGGAATTAATTGGACTCTGTTTCTTAATTTGTTCAGTTCCAGTTGTCTCACAGCAACTAACCTCCCAGTATGTTGTAGAAATTAAACATGCCAATGCCCCCAGGAAACAGTACTTTCTCACTGTGGCTAATTGAAGAACAGAATGAAGCCCGAGGAAAAGAAGGTCACTCAGGATTAGCTTGATTCAAACAGTCTCCCCATTATAAAAATTAGCATCACCAGGATGGAGAAAGGCCTCTTGTCCCTTTGTCCAGGGTTTTGTCTTATTAAATATTCAAAATTTCATGGCTGAATAGAAGTAGCACCACCACCAAGTTTAGTTTAGGAAACAAATGCTTTTCCTCCTCCATTTTTTGACAAAAAAATTTGAATGTTTTAAACACATTTTCACAATATAAAAAAACAGATCAGGTTTCATCATAAACCTTCACCAATTTTCTTCACCTGCATGAAGCAAAAATTAGTAAGTACATATTAATAAGCACCCTTCAGTTGAGTTCTATAAATGATGACTGCATGGACGTAATCATACATTTTGCTTCACAACCGTATGGAAATAATTTGTTACAGCTTCCAGTCTAGTCTAGGCATTTGCTGGTGGCCTCCCATCCGAACAATGAACTCAATTTTGCTTAGTTTCGGAATTCATTTCAGGTTAGCTAAATGCTGCTATGTATCACATCAACTTGCACATCAATTGGTGGTGGATTATGCAAAACTGGAGTGGAAAAGATGGATTGACTATACTCAAAATAAATATGGGACTAAGAAATTCCAGATAGCTTATGATTAGAGACCAGGAATTATAAATTGTCTAGAGNTCGATTCTCAATTTTCGATTCTCAATTTTCGATTCTCGATTCTCGATTCTCAATTTTCTTTCTCTATTCTCTATTCCCTATTCTCTTATTCTATTCACCCCAAAAACTCTTTGTATGTAAAGGAAGTTCATAGTGGGTGATCACAACAACTTCTGTTCCAAAACCAGTCCAGAAGTCAGACTAAAATGGAGCTAGAAAATGACATCACTGATCAAACACCACAATTCCCTTCCCCATCTGTGGTATTCTGATTTGCTTGATAATTTTAAGGATTTTTTTCCTCCCCATTTAATTCCCTTTGCATTATTAATCCAAACTAAATGAGATTATGACATTTCTCCATGCCACAGTGTAAATTAAGCTAAAAAGACCATATAACTGTTAAAGGCCATATGTGTAAATTAATGCTTGTCTAGACGTTTGAACCCTGTTCTCTCTAATAAAAGTTCATTACTTTCTTCATTATTAAACCTTCCCTAACTTGGACTCTTCTATATTTGTGATATTACTAGTACCATAATCCTCAATCGAGTTTTAAATAAAAGGATTAAATTACACTTAAGCTGATTTCAGTCCTGAGTTTTAAATGTTCATAAGCCTATATATAGTTCATCTGTAATGTTCATTCATTCCTCAATTTCCTCTGTAGCTAGGCAGAATTTTGCAGTAAATGATCTGAAGAACCTTCCAATAATTTGGTCAAGCAATTTCCCTATAACATTAGAAAACAATTACAACAGCATGGTAGCCTGCTTCAATTTCATTAAAACATTTTCACTTTTGGCTAATGCCCACATTAATTAACCTCCAAGCATTTAAAAAAAAATCTTTTACTCATTTCAAGAGTCTACAAATGAATAAAGTGTGTTGTAATGTTCTCTTCTTGACTTTTTGTTGAAAAAGACAAGAAGAAAGTCACATATCAAAATTGCAATAGAGTCAATTAACTTCACATTAGATTTAAACAAGCTACTGCAAATGGAAATAAATTCTATTACCATTTTAGAGAACACAGTCTTTCAAAACTTATTATGCTTCAAAATAGCAAAACAACGAATGAAGTAAACATTTACACTGTTCATATTAACAATTCTACCAGCATTGAGAAGAGTTCAACATATTAATATTTTATTATTTTGGACAGGTACATGTATGGCATAATTACCTAACGTAATAAGAAGCTTTATAAATATTATTTCTTTCCTCTATTGTTAATCGCCTGTTATGTTGTTAACATCTGCCTGTGAGTGTACCAAAGAATAAGATTATCTCATCCCAAGATTTTCCTGGATTTTGATTATTTCTTTCCAAATCAGAGTCCCAAATTAGCATACAATCCCAAATATTCAATAGATGATATCTTGATTGCTTGGAGAAGTCAAGCAAAATCAATAGCAAAAGAATATACCAGCACACTTGGTGGAAATCAGCACTGAAAAAAATCTGGTTCATTTTACCTTCAAACTGAGATTGAGTTGCAGATATTTTTTTTTATTCTGTTATTCTAAAACCTTTCTTTTCTTGAGAATTATAATTCCAAAATATAAGATAAAACAGAGATTAACAATATATGAATACAATAAAAAAAATTCTAAATGCTGTTTTATGTGATTGGAAAATCTAACTTGCATGGTATATTTTATGAGGCTATTATTGAAATAAAATTATTTTGTTAGTTTTGCTTTTAAAGAAATACCGGTAGTTCTTTAAATAGTTTAGATCAGAGGTCTTCAAACTTGGCAACTTTAAGTCTTGTGGATCTCAACTCCCAGAATTGGGAGTTAAAGTAGCAATAGCAATAGCAGTTTGACTTATATACTGCTTCATAGGGCTTTCAGCCCTCTCTAAGCAGTTTACAGAGTCGGTATATTGCCCCCACAATCTGGGTCCTCATTTTACCCACCTTGGAATGATGGAAGGCTGAGTCAACCCTGAGCCGGTGAGATTTGAACCGCCGAGCTACAGAACTAGCAGTCAGCTGAAGTGGCTGCAGTACTGCACCCTAACCACTGCACCACCTCGGCTCTATAAGTCTTAAAGTTGCCAAGTTTGTGGACCCCGGGTTTAGATTATCTTTTCCCCAAACATGTTATGGAGCTTTGAAAGAACTAATTTCCTTATTGGTGAGGCAATGACATATTCTCTGTAAGAAAAAGTTTTAAGCTGAGAGCAAAATCATTCACGTACAGGTGGTCCTCAACTTACAACATTTCGTTTAGTGACCATTCGAAGTTACAGTATCACTGAAAAAGTGTCTTATAATTGTTTTTCATACTTACAATTGTTGGGGCATCCCCCTGGTCACGTGATCAAAATTCAGATGCTTGGCAACTGATTCATATTTATGACAGCTGCAGTGTCCCAGGGTCATTTGATCACCTTTTGCAAACTTCTGATAAGCAAAGTCAATAATACAATAGCAGAGTTAGAAGGGACCTTGAAGGTCTTCTAGTCCAACCCCCTGCCTAGGCAGGAAACCCTATACTGTTTCCTGCCTAGGCAGGGGGTTGATCTATAAGACCTCCAAAGTCCCTTCCAGCTTCCAACAATGGGGAAGCCAGATTCACTTAATCATTACTATTCTGACTGCTGTAATGATGTGCAAAATTAAATATTTTATCTCTTTCGTATACTTTCCCTTAATAATCCTCAGTAGGAACAATTCTGCTTTGAGCTCTATTTGGGTATTTGTGATTTCCTGTAACCAATTTTGTATTTTAGTCCAACATTTTTTTTAGCTTCCAGGCATAACCACTTGCACAATGTTGGAAAAGTGATACCATACCGACAGATTGTTTGATAATCCAAAAGATTCTTGATTGCGCAGAGATGGATAATATCACATTGGAGTTAAGGGACAAGGACGACTCAGAGTATTATATAGTTCGGGAAAACTGATATCAATGGATAAATAATAGGAATATGAAATGTATAGCTTGGAAACTTAGATGTATAGATCTAGGAATAATTAGGAATGTATAAAATGTATTTGAATAACAAATGGTTATGACAGTACTGTCAAAAAGAATGTCAACTTTTACAAAATTATTTTTAAAGATATTTGTATTTTAATGTTTTAAATTTTCAATAAAGGCTTTTAAAAAAAACACAACAATCATTACTAATTTAATAAGTGCAGCGATTCACTTAATGACTGTAGCAAGAAAGGTTGTAAAATGCGGGGAGAAATTCACTTAACAAATGTCTCACTTAGGAACAGAAATTTTGGGCTCAATTGTGGTCATATGTCGAGGACTACCCGTATTTATCTTTTCAAGATCAGCAAAGATAGCCTCCTTATGGAGACTGTTACTTTGTCAAATACTTCACAAACCTGTTTTTGATACCATGCTGTACAGTATCACTTACTAGCTACTATGCATTCAGAAACAATACATGCCCTTGAGAGTTGAATGCGAATTGGTAAACAAATGCTACCACCTGACGTATTCAATTTTCCATTCCCTTCAGGAAATGCGGCCAAACTGTATCAGAGGACAGAGCGCAGCACCTAAGCTCTATTTGTTAGAGCAGATAAGCCTTTCATACTCAGGGACTGATGCATGGCATTTTCAGATGTCACCGAGAAGAAGCCGTGAACAGTAAAATGTAAGAACACCTCCTGCTCACGAAAGTGATAATTTTAAGAAAATGGACCCAATTTTCTGAGTTTAAGTCACTGTGAAAAGCATGAGAAGACTAAGTATTTTTGAACTGTTGAGTGAGTTTAAAGGTGATTTTAACTCCACCTCACTGCTCAACACCACCCTTTTCTTTTTAGAGCTGGATTGGGGTTTCCCCCTCCCTACATTTGGGCTGATTCATTTCAAAACAATGTTTGATTTCTCTCTCTCTCACTCACCTAAATAGAGCTTGTGGGTGGCTTAGGTTTTCATTGGTGGGAATCCCCAGCTTGTCCCACATCCTGGGGTCAAACAAACATTAATATTTTCTTCTTTCCTCTCCATCATCCACACCCTCTTATTCCTGAAGTTTCTCTTATACCATATCACTTAGACATACTGAAAGAAATGCCTGGCTTCAAAAGTAGTACATTCTCATTTAATCTCCAAAGATTGCTAAATGTAAGAAAGGACTGATATCAGGAGCCAGGGCATCTTAAAACCAACCAACCTACCTATCTACCTACCTTCCGCTCCTCCCTTCCCAAAATACCATGCTCCATTTTTGGGAAAAGAGACCCGCCCTACCTTTTTTGAGAGTAGAGACTCTTGCTTCCCTAGGTTTCTTCCTACTTGAGGGAATGAGTTATGAATGGAATAACTATTCAGTCTTTGTGTTTACCTATTGATCAGCTAAAGAAGGAACACAGACTGACTCAGAGAGATTTCTCTTGGTATTTGGAAATAGGCAGGAAAGATATTTGCATGGTGGTCTCAAAACAATGTGGGTGTCCAGAGCTTAAACCAGTGGAATCCCACCCCCTACCCAGGGGTGGAATTCAGCTGGTTAGGATTGGTTTGGGTGAACTGGATGCTAATTTTACATCTGGTTCACCCAACAGGTAGTTGCAAGACTGGCTGGCCCCTCCCACCCCTCCCCGCCCCTCCCAGGAGTCTCCATGCGGCCCATTTTGGATGCCAGGTAAGTGCAGGGCCCATGCAGAGGCTTGGGGGGGGGGGCAAAAAATGGGCCTCCTGGAAGTTCTGGAACTCCAGAAATGTGCTTATTTCTGGCCTCTGGAGGGCTTCCAGAGCCCAGGCGAGGCTGTTGTCGCCCTCCCGGGGGCTCACGGAAAGCCTCTGGAGCCCGGGGAGGGTGAAAATACCCCCCACGCCTGGTGCAGTAGATCATGCCCACCATGGCCACGCCCACCCAGCAACCGGGCAGTGAAACAGTTGCTAAAATCTCATCCCTGCCCCTCCCCCATGATTCTAATAAAGATCTGTTGTTACCCGTCACTCAATGGAGCAGCAGGGGAAAATGGCCAAAGCCATCAAGACCCAATATACAGACCAAACATTGTGTTAACATTACCTTCTTCTGTAACTGAACAATCCCAATCAATCAAATAACAAAAGTAGTACTTCTTTTGTCAGCGACGTTATCTTTCGTTAGTGCAGAATAATGCAAAAGTGAAAGAAAAAAACTGTCATAATAGTTTGCAGTAATTTTAGATCCACCCACCAAGTTCATATGTTAAATTGGTTTTGCTTGATTGTACCACACCCTTATAGCTTGCAGATGTCACTCCTAGAGTGAAGTAACTGATTAGCTTCATATTCATCAGTTCTCATCAAGGATTATGAGTCACCTAGTGTAATAAATATGTACACAACCTTGTTCTCAAATTTTCAAGGAAATAGGACATATAAATAGAATAGACTTAATTTACAGTGGTTTAATATATGGAAATAGTTTAAATTCCTTTGTCTTGACATAAAAAAGAAAGTAATGTTATTCCCACAATATGCATGCGATATCTATTGCACATCTATTGTGATAGATTAGTATACTATAATGCAAATGCTAGGATAGATTTCTTACAAGAATAGAAAGGGCGTTGGTACTTACCTGATATGCCTCTTCTAATAAGATGGAGATAGCATCCATGAATGGGTTAGCACGGTCCGTGTTCTGATCGGACTGAGTCTGATTATTAATTAATTATTGGCCTACATAACCTTCCTTGTGAGTGTCCCCACCCAGCTTTCCGGCAAAGTAAATAAACACAGACTCAATGTGTTATCCAACCAAACTTTACTTGCATACCAAGGTAACTTACAACCAGGAGAAATTGAACACTTCCAATCACCCTTTGTACCAAGCAGATAATGACAAGAAGAAACAGTTCTTCGACATGGGTGGGCCCTGATGCTATCTCCACCTTATTAGAAGAGGTGTATCAGGTAAGTACCAACGCCCTTTCTCAATAAGAGTGGAGATAGCATCCATGAATGGGACATACCCAAGCCTGGCCACTCAAGGGTGGGCCGTAGACTGTTCCAAACCGAAGCCCTGAGAACCAACAGCCTGTAGAACCCTGCGCCCGAATGCTGCGTCGGTGGATGTGAATTTGTCCAATTTATAAGTCTTAATAAAAGGAGGAGGAGACACCCAAACTGCCGCCCTGCAGATCTCATCTAGAGATGCTTGGGTGGCCCACGCTGCAGTGGTAGTGGCACGTCTTATAGAGTGGGCAGTAACGCCTTCCGGCACTGACTCCTGACGAACCTCATAGGTCATTGTGATGCATTTACGCACCCACCTCCCTATGGTGGCCACCGATACCTTCTTACCCAATAAGATTCTAAAACGGAAACAAATAGTGCCTCCGAACGTCATAACTCCGCCGTGCATTGAATGTAAATCTAGAGCCCCCAGCGCACATCCAACGTATGCCACTGTTGTTCTAAATGGTGTATTGGGCAGGGGCAGAAATTTGGAAAAACCACTTCCTGTGCCCAATGAAACCAGGACCCCGCCTTGGGCACAAATGAAGGATCCAGCCATAGTACTATGCGGTCGGGATAAAATCTGCACAAATCATCCCGCACCGAAAGGGCATGTAACTCTGATATTCTCCTGGCAGATGTTATCGCTACCAAGAAGGAAACCTTCCAGGTAAGTATCCTCATGGG